CTTCCGCAACAGCTCTGGACACCTCCGGTCTGCCTTCCAAGTACCACGAGTTTGCTGACGTCTTCTCCGAGCAGGAAGCTTACAATCTTCCTCCTCATCGAGAATTCGATCTCAAAATCGAGCTCCTAGACGGTGAGGAGCCTCCGGTTGGTCACGTCTACTCCCTCTTGCCTACCGAGCTCGCTGCCCTCCGGGACTTCATCGACAAGAACTTAAAGTCGGGATTTATATATCCGACTCGTTCAAGTCATGAAGCTCCTATTCTCTTCGCTAAGAAGAAGGACAGTAGCCTCCGGTTGTGCGTCGACTACTGGGGACTTAATTGGATCACAAAGAAGGACCGCTATCCACTTCCTCTCATCGCCGATCTCCTTGATGCTCCCGGGAAGGCTCGCATCTATACAAAACTTGATCTCCGGCATGCTTACCATCTTCTCCAGATCGCTCCGGGTGACGAACCTAAAACGGCTTTTCGTACTTACTATGGGTCCTTTGAATCCCGGGTGGTTCTGGAAGGCCTTACCAATGCTCCGGCCGCTTTTCAGCAGCTCCTGAACAGTCTGTTCGCAGATCTGTTGGACGTGTACATTGTCATTTATTTGGACGACATATTGATCTATTCTGATGATCTGTCCCAACACACCGAACATATTCGGGAGGTGCTCCGGCGCCTTCGGAAGGCCGGACTCTTCTGCAAACTCTCCAAGTGCGAGTTCAGCGTCACCACCTGCGAATATCTCGGTTACATCCTGTTGCCGGAAGGCTTCCAGATGTCTCTGGACAAGGTTTCCGCCATCGTTGATTGGCTGGAACCCCGGAAAGTGAAGGACATTCAGTCCTTCCTTGGGTTTTGTAATTTCTATTGATGTTTTATCTGGAACTACTCGGCGATCATGATCCCTCTTACTCGCCTCACTTGTTCCAATGTCCGATAAATGGGTTGCTCAGGTTCAACGGTCTAAATATGCAACTGCCAAAATCCCCCCTATCGAACGACTGAGTTACACCTAACTCACAAAGTGAGATTAAGCACGACTAAACCGACAATAGACAGACTCCAACACCAACACACTCCCTTAATGACCTTGATACACTGACGAGATTCGGGTCTTTTTGGACACAAGTATAGGTCCAAGGAAACCACGAGTAAACGTATTTGTCACGAAAGTATTCAATTCCCGTTCCCCCAAGGGTGGCTAAGTCTCAACTAGTTTCTTGAAGTGGCGTTCAAGACACAACCTGAATTTATCGGTTGGTTCCCAACGTGGATTTAAGTTTCCCAACTATGCAGATATAACGGCTCTAGACCGGTTTGTTTTGGTGGACTATTAATCCGGTGGGCTGTTTAGACCCGGTTGTTTGGCTCACACCTTATTCCACTGACTTGGCTCGCGCCTCAAACTTGCTTGGCTCGCGCCCCGTAACTATGGCTCACACCTCAAAACACACACAATGGCTCACACCTCGGACTTGGTATGGCTCACGCCCCGTAACTGACACTTATAAATCCCACTGATGCTATTCCAAAACCGAACTTAAATTCTGAGACTAATTGACAGCCAAAGATTCAAGCCTAAACTTCAACTCCGTATGCAAGGGCTGTATTGCTCCTCACTTTCTGGGGTCTGGTTCAGTGCCGTCCTCCCTGGTTCTGCCCTCCTTATATACTGTACAAAAACTATTACATATGCGTGATTACCAGGCCTCGGGTATTCTACTTAATTAATTAGCCTGCAATCGGTATCAGTGGAGCGCGTTCTGGCGTTCCTATTCGCTACTTGAGCCCTCCTATATGTTCCATCTAATGACTCCCGTCGATCAGGGGATTATATGTGTAATTAGTCCCCTGAATAGGATAATTGACTCATATCTTCCTCTGTGGTAGATGCCTCAACTTCTAGTATCGTTGACTGGATTGTATGGTTTAATACCTTTCCAATGATACCCCAGATGCCCTTAATCAGTATCCAGAAACACGCAGTACAAGCTTAATCTGGCCTGCGGCTTATCGGGTGATCGCGCTGTCGCGGATCCGGTGTATAGGAGTAATAATTGTAGGTCCAGGCCTTGATCAGGTGACCCATCGCGTCGCGTCGGGTAAGCCAAAGTCGTGTAAACAACTAGGTGTTTCCCTCCCGAATAAGGTTCCCAGCGTGCCAATAAATGCCAGAGGTGGATAATATGATTCTCCCTTTGATAGTGAGCATTGCTTTTGCCTTCCCCCGTATAGAGGGTGTTTCAGGACTTTGATGTATGGGCTTTAAGCCTTAATCCGGATTCAACCCCCAAGTGTCCCAAGGGTGAAGTTTCCAGGAATAAGCTGTTATTGCCAGTTTAAGATGATAATGCAATATGGCTCTGGGTTGCACGTTTGGAGCTCACGCCAACCTCTGGATGAGCGCTGAATGTCATGCATTCGTAAAATTTGAGGTTTTGCAAATTTCGCGGCTTATCAACGCGAGCGTAAGTACCCTACAGTCTTGCGCCTACCATGTTCATGACACGTGTCGGCTGCTAGTCCTCCCAATACATGATTTCAATGGGCATTCACCATGCAGAGAGACAAGCACCTTGCATGCACCACGTTGCCCCGCTCAACGTCCCCGACCGCCCATTTACTCTCCACACATGAATGGTCTAAGCCTCAAACAAATCTGTTTAATGTATCACAATATTGCAAGGCGAAAGTCCGGAGCCCACAGTCGCGTCACAGGTAGTGATGTGCTTGGCTTGGCTTTAAGCCCCCAAGCCCCCAAGCCGGCTTGACCAAGCCAAGCCAAGCCGTACTCGGGGCTTGGACAGGGCTTTGGCTTTGGCTTGAGGTCAGCGAAGCCAAAGCCGGGGCTTCAAGCCGTGACTTTGAGTGCTGCATACATACCTCCTTGTGGCCATCTGTCAAAGGTATGGAAGTGTATTTCATAGGTCAGACTCTGTCCAATTTGAACTGGTGGACTCCAACTTACTTTGAACCACAGTTTACTTCAGTGGTTCAACAATGAGGTTGGACGAAGATCAACTTTTTTTCTTTGATCTTCACTATTTGAGGGGTTCTATCCCGATTATCGATGCAGGACTGGGTGTTGAGATATTTTCTTTGTCAGATGGGTCGATTTGATGAGTTTACTGACCTTGTACGGCAGTATACAGCATCCATAAATTTGCAGTTCAAGCCGCCAAAGCCAAGCCAAGCCAAGCCCTATCCCAGGGCTTTGGCTTTGGCTTGAGGTTGCTCAAGCCAAAGCCCCGGGAAGCCAAGCCAAAGCCGGGGCTTGCCCGAACATCACTAGTCACAGGCTAGCCTGTTTCTGGACTTGGAATGCCTTGAATTGAGCGGGTATCGGTCGGGTGGTTTGGCATTGAGGTGCCAGTGACCTGACATTGCATCCATAGTGCCTAGTAGCGCGCCAGATGCACAGTGGGAATGAGGAAGCAGAAGTCAAAAACCAGAAATCGAAATCAGTCACGCGAAATCAAAGCGCGGACTTGTTGGCAACCGTAACCGCGTGGGCGTGCTTAGTCATCCCGCCGATTTCGTCGCAGGCTCGAGAAATGAGGTTACGAGTGGTCAGTCTCAAGAGAGACCAACTACTACTAGTAACGACGAACTCAAATCCTTTGCTCTGCATTCAGCGCCTCCAACCGCCCTTTTCCTGGTCGAGATAATCCTAAGTATGTGGTTTCTCCAACCGCCTCTCTCAGGCTGTGTGCTTTTCGACATTTTCAACCCCCCTTGCGCTCCCCCACAATCACCTCACGTGATCTCTTGATGTCGACAGGGTTCGATTCCCGGATGTGCAGTCCTTTTTCTCAACGAAGAATAATTTGAGATGGAGTCGGTTGACTCCATTACACATTAAAGTAGACATGATAAAAAGGAACAAAGAGGAGGAACTTTGCTAAGCCTTAAAGGTTGATGAAAAACATTGACAGGGCATGGCATTCAATCTCTAACCCCCTTAAGCCTGCCGTACGCATATGAAGAAAAGGTAAACTCACTGAAAAAGAGGTTTATCAGAACAGATTGGTAGGGTCAGAGTTGCATATCGATCAAATGAGATAAGTAGATGTAGAGAACAACTTCAACTGGACAAGTGGGATTTGGAACATTCTACCCTTTCAAGAGCACCCAAAAAAAACACCGGATGTAGATGAGTGCATTTGTTTGCACATAGGGAAAGTGTGTTAGCGACCTCATCTGCGCAGGCCGTCACAAATGCGGAAAGGAGGGACGAAAAAAATTAGGCTGGTAGGATAAAGTAACAGAAAAGACGGTGACCGGGTTCGAACCCAAGACTTAGGGACAGATTAAATAAGGAGAGATTGATGCAGGCAACCACTCCACCATAACTCTAACACAAGCTTTACCCACGTAGACATCTAGCTACGTGTGGGCGGCGGCGGCCGGCGGAAATTTTCCTTATCGGGCAAGATGATAGTGGGGGAGGCGAGCGCGGGCCGACATTTTCTTGTGGTTTTATTCTCTTTTGGTGCTGTTTCCTCTCCAAACTAATCCCATCTCTCGAGTGCGGGCTGGATGATGTCTACTGAGGTGATACGTCGGTCTCTTCTGTCTGTATCCGTTCTCCGAAATCCCTTGGCCTCGCAATAATCTTCCCGAATTTTGCAGATTGATGCATCATCCGTGCCACTGCCTACATCTATCGACAATGTAACTACCTGATCAAGACCTGGTAGCTAAGTGGAAACGCGTCCATATTATCTAGATCTATCGTCTTGTGTACGCGGAAGTCCCCGGTTCGACCCCGGGTCAGGTCATATCGGCCACCCCAGTTTTTGTCTTGCGTTTTTATCGCCCTTCCAACTCCTCTTCAATCATGTTTCTTCCTCAGCTGCCTGTACATGTGCTTGATATTTCCTCAATGTTCTCTGCCCGCCTTTCGCCCCATCCACTACTAGCTTGACTGTATCCGTGCATTCGTATCCGGTAGGTATATTCCGGCACGGTCCCTTTAAGAAGCAGCCCGGGACGTGCCCATGAAGACCCAATGGCGAAATGGTATCACTTCCGCAAAAATTATCAGTACGAATTATGTGATTTCTGTGGAAGTCCCCTGGTTCGAATCCAGGTTGGGTCATTGCCAAGAAGTTCGGATTTTTTATTCCTTTCTCCTTCGCTCCTCCTCTCCTCACCCTGAATCCACTGACATTCCCTTTTTGCCAAATCCTGTTTCACCTTTAGTTGACCTTTGTCTGGGCAACAGCGCAAGCTCTCCTAATTGTTCTCTGCCCGCCTCTTGTCCCATCCACCAGCTTGAGTCAATGACGCCATCCCCATCCTAAAGGCATCAAGACCCAATAGCCAAATGCATCGCATCTGCAAAAAGTATAGATGTACCTTCCCATGCGCCTTCTGCGGAAGATTCCGGGTTGGGTCATAAGCGGGGGGAAAAGTTGAATTTTTTCCCCTCCTCCCTAGGTCTCTCCAACGCGAATCTGGTCTTAATCTTTGCCAACTGCTGTGCGTTGGTGGACTTCTGGCAAACACTGCAAGCTCTCGTGACTCATCAATTCTTTTTGATTTTGATTTCCTCGCTGCCTCTTCATACTCTTGCTGTCTTCACTTGATCCATTCTACCCTACAGAATGCTCATCCTGGACCCAGCAGACAGACCCAGTAGCGAAATGTATCGCGTCTGCAATAAGTAGCGAGTCAAATATACGTCGTCTTGTGCGGAAGCTCCCGGTTCAATTCCGGGTTGGATCATCATGCATCATGCTACAGCCATCGTTTTTTCGTGTTTATTTCTTTTTATCCTCACTCCAACGCGAATCCAGCCTTAATTTTTGTTAACTTCTGCCCTTCGGCGGACCGTGACGTTCTTCTGGTAAACGCTGGACGCTCTCCTCTTTCCGTCTTTGCATGAGTGTGCAATATCAATACATTGTACGCTACAAAATGCCCATCCCACAACGAGCAGACAGACGCAATAGCGAAATGCATCGCATCTGCAAAAAAGTATAGATGTACATTCCCATACGCCTTCTGCGGAAGTTCTCGGTTCGATTCCGGGTTGGGTCATGAGCGGGGGAAAAAGTTGAATTTTTTCCCCTCCTCCCTAGGTCTCTCCAACGCGAATCTGGTCTTAATTTTTGTCGGCTTCTGCGCATCGGCGGATTTTCTGGTAAACGCTGCAAGTCCTCCCCAGTTCTTTCCAGATTTGCTTCCTCATGCTCTTGCTGTCTTTGCATGAGTCTGCAATATCACATTCTACACTACAAAATGCCCATCCTGCACCCAGCAGACAGACCCAGTAGTGAAATGTATCGCGTCCGCAATAAGTGAGGAAGATTACAACGTCTGAATCTTCTGCGGAAGTTACCGGTTCGATTCCGGGTTGGGTCATCGTGCATCATGTTACCGCCATCATTTTTTCGTGTTTATTTCTTATTATCCTCCTCCCTCCAACGCGAATCCGGCCTTAATGTTCGTCAACTCCTGCGCGTCAGCGGACTTTCTTCTGGTAAACACTGCAAGCTCTCCTGACTCATCAATTCTTTTTCTTGCCATCTTCACACACGAGTGTACAATATCAATACATTCTACGCTACAAAAGGCCCAATCCGCTTTTGGTATACAGATCCAGTAGCGAAATGTATCCTGTCCGCAAGTACAGTCAACTCCCTCTTAACCCATACCCCTTGGTGGATACCTCAGCGGGTTATCACAGCTTATGAGTTCTGGGAGAGGCTATAGAAAAATGTTGAAAGAGATGTTGCACATCATTAAGGAACCAATACTGATATTTGTTTTCCTTTCTTAAGCCACTTGTTTTAGAGCATTTACCCGTATTTTTGGTATTTCTTCAGTGCTGTGAGACATTATTTTAGGATTTCAAGGCACATGGATTGATTTAATACGGCAAAATTCGCATAAGTCAGAGCAAGCAATAACAGAGCACCGGCAAAGAAGGGAGGGAACAAGCGCAAGGCAGTATGTGCTAATCCATGCCAGTCGAAATTGAGACGTGAGCGGCAGTAATTATAAATTCAACATTCAAACCGAGTCTATTACGCAGGTCACGTTCCGATCATCGGTCGTACCTTAGATTAGCCCCGCATTCACCCCGCACTACCTACACTGCGGCGATCAAAAAAAATTACCCAAAGAAAACGGGCCTAGAACTATTATATGCGGTTTCCTGGCCGGAAAAAGTTAAAAAATTTCCCAAGGTAAGATGACGGAAATGGTTAGAATATTCCAGCCCAATTTCCGCCCGTAATAGACAAGAATTTACTGTGGAAACTTTTTGGGAAGCAATGAGACTTTTTCCGGGAGTTTTTCCTCTGAAAAAGCGTGTTTAGAACTTGTTTTACGTTAGTCTAATATTGCACGGTTCGAATGCTATTCTCCTCTCTTTTTTCTCGCACCATCCTGACGTTGCAGTGCCAGGTGCTCTTCGCAAAACAAGGGATGGCTGCCGTGCCCTGCTTGTCACTCCTGGCCAGGGTCCATCTCCATATAGCCGGGCTGTGTGAGACTTCATTTTACTCCCCTCCATTCTCCCGCGCTCCACTCACATTCAGTAGCGTGATTGTTTGCACTGCCAGAGGAGGAGGGGTGTATTACTGCAGAGGTCCCAAGCAGGAACAAGCAGGCACTGTACCGACATACATGATTGCTACGTTGTCAACAGCCAAGTCCCTGTGGTAGCCTACACATACTATTATACATAGACATCTCAGGAGATGACGGATGAAGATGGGCGAAAGTACTATCCTGGAATCCTAAAAGTAATGGGGGAGCATCTTGGGTTTTGTCAAATATTCTGAGGACCTGGACGATCAAGTTGAAATGCTCTCCCCGTTGAAGGAATTGTTCCAGGAGTATTATATGACTGGCAAATTGTTGGTGCGCTCCGAACCTAATGCATTCATTCAGCCACAGTGTGACTGAAGAGCTGCCAGTGATGACACATAATGGTTTGTGAACCTTGGAAAGCCCAGGGAGCAGGACATGACAGACACCTCAATGAACATGTAGTCCATCATGCGCTACAGTCTCCAACATGTATCCATGCTTTGGTTTTCAGTTTTTGTGACCCAGGGCCTCTTTTGCCAGAATTTGGTCATCCGTACCAAGTTCACAGCTTACACAACAATCGAGTTCCGCTCGGAGGGCCAATGGTTTTCTCGCGCCCACGTATATCACTGTCTGGGAGTATATTCTTCAACCAGAGCAGATGAATATCAGAGTGGGGTCAGAGTGGGGTGGTCAAGATAAGAGATGGGGGTTAGACCAACAACAAGGACAACAGCCTCGTGGCATTGACGAGAAGATTCTGGAATAGCCTAAGCAAGTGGGTGATTCAGTGTGCAGCTGGCAGCCGACAATTGTTCAGCACCAGTATTAGGGCAGACTCTGGGATTGTGTGTGTGCATCTAGAGATTAAAGAGAGCAGATGAAAACATGAACCCGTCGTCGGAGTTGATCCGGGATATAGCGCTTCCACGCGACCGAGTCCCGAGATTTTCCGAGCGCAGCACATTTGTAAGCAGACAATTGAGGGGTATCCGAGACACTTGCACACTGTCCGATAAAGCCCGAACAATGAGCTCGTAGCCCAATTTGGTCCAAAGCCTCTGCAAAAAGAGCAAGAGATGCTTGGAGGTGGTCTGTTCACGCTTCTCAACAGCTTGGTAGTTCTGCACAGGCCCCCAAACAGAAGGCACTAAATAGATAGTATTCAGCTTTGACGAATGATAACCCCGTATTCATGGGATCTAGTTTCCATAGCTTGGTCAGCTCAGCACTTTACTGGGCCCCAGCCCCCAAGATCTATGTTGACCTACATGCGGCAGACAGCGAGGTATTTCATCCTGCGTTGCTCGACATGATGGTGATAAGGGCACCATACATATGTTGGGGATCCCACGGACACTATCTGAACCTGGGTCTTGTGTAGGAGGTCGACTACATAGCCATACATGGCCCGCCCGTTCGTTGTGTGCTTCAATGGGTAGTCTTCCCAAATGTGAGACATAATGATGGTAAGAGGAGAACTTTTGTACTCCTCTCCCCTGTTCAAGATCTGAACAGTACAAGAGGGCGGACAATTCCAGGAATTGTCCAATTCTTCTTGCTTTGTTGCTCTTGCACTTACTGCGGCGATTTGCTGGACCCACTCGCCCGCTTTCCTCGGGCGTTACTCTATGTATATAAAGCCGTATGTGTAGCCGTACGATCCCTTTATACACATCTTCCTGGGGTTCCCAGCTCCAGGCCGGGAATTGCCGCTACGCTGATTCTTGCTCATTCGTGAGTACGTCGGAATTAGAGGCAGCCTTTTTCCACGGGAAATAGCTGGGCACTGTTTTCCTTAGGTAAATCCCCAACTCTTTGTCTTGAAAAATATATTGGAAAAAGATCACATTTTTCCTCCACATTTCCGGCGCGATACTCGTGCTTGTGGCAGATACTGATACTCAATATTATGTAATATTTTACGTGATCTTGACGCGTCGATTCTGGGCTGAAACATCCGACAACAAAGATGCTCAGCTGGTTGCTTTGCCTCAGAGACAATTATTGGCAGACAGCCAAGGTGTCCATGCATTATATCATGCCATTCTGGTCAGTAAGTCACAGGTTTGTTATGCTGTGACACCTATATAGAATCAATCTCCTGGGGTAAAAGTCCATAATTCACCAAAGGAAACGTGGAGGAAAAAAATTGTCTTTTTATAATGGTTTTCATAACACACCTAATAAAGCAATCTTTCAGACTCGTTAAATGGCAGGTAAAAAGGTGAGCTTTCAGACGGACTTTCAAAAACGACTGAAAGTACTATAATCCGCAGGCCGAGATTTTTCCTATTGGTCCGGCATTTCCCGGACCAATAGCAAAAATCTCGGCCTGTGGATTGTTCATCTCTTTCTGAAAGCGATGCAAACAGTTTCATTTTATTCCTCCCATTTAACGAGGCTGAAAGATTGCTGTTTTAGGTGTGCAAGACAAAGAGTTTGGCATTTACCGAAGCAAAACAGGGCCCGGCTATTTCCCGTGGAAAAAGGCCACCTTTTTCCGGAGGAAAAACGCACGGAAAAAGTCTGATTTTTTCCTAAAAAGTCTCCATG